ACTTACGGGGGTACTCATGGTCTTCGTTTAGGGGCTGGGGGCGACAGGAGTCGACTCCGCGTGATTCTTCCTCGCTTGGAATTGGAAACCGCACTCTCACAAATCGAAATCACAGTTCGGATAGCCGAAGTCTCGATGGAATTGAACGAAACTCTGCAGCATATGCATGAGCAGTCCCCCTGGGCCTTGGAACTCCCTCACCTTCGCCCGGTACTCATCGATGATCCCGACGACCTTGGCCAAGGATCCTCCCTGACCCAAGTAAGCGAAAAGCGTCGGTCTCAACGAGTCTGCTTCATCGTCGAAACTATCAGGATCCAGAGTCACGTTCGTGATGAAGATTCGTAGTTGGACCATCGTCTGCTCTTCGAAAGTCCTTCGCTTTGCCCCCGGCTTCCTCGGTTCGAACAACCGAGCCCTCGGAAACAGCGGAAACCGCGGCCTGGGCTTAGGCTTAACGAAGACCGCAGCATGCGGCGAGAGTTCACACGAGCTGCTCGAAGTGTAACCTGATTCACTTCCGCTATCCATGCTAGGGAGGAGGGATCCGATGATTTCAAGTAAAGGAGAAGATGAGCGCAGTCACCGAGAATGATAGCTCATGGGCTCGACGAATGATTCTTATACCGAACGAGAGGTGCGAAGATTCTCTCCCCTCGATCCCTTCTCAATGAACCCCCGGGTTCTGAATGAGTATCTGGGGGAATTACGCTGGAATGTTCGCCAGATCGAGGGTGCTGCACCAGAACGAGGTTCGAGTATACTCGCCGCGGGGCTCTCCCTTATCAATAAATTGGACTTTGGGCTGAAAGCGAATACGCCAGGCTTGAATGGGAGTTCATCGGAATCTTGAAAAATCTGAAAGATTCCTCAAGTCGATTGTCTCGCGCCAAGACCCCCCTACAGGAGTCTCGAGGAGCCCCCTCACTGCGTCGTTGAACGGCCTATTTCATTTTTGACGGCATCTTGAGACTTCCCAAATGTCATCAGGTCAAAGGGGAGTCAAACCTGCTTGTCATTCATCTATCTGAACCATGGAACCCGAAAAGAGTTTCGACAAGAGTCTCGCTGAAATCCAGGAATCCCGGGACCAATCGGGTTCACCGCGTTTGCTCAACCGACGAGAGTTCTGAGACGGAGGGGATTTCTCCGAGAGAACTTTCGTATGCCACAAGAGGCTCGAGAAGTCATGAGTTCAACGCGCGCATTGCTCACCCAACTTAAGATATATCACATGTTAGGTCCACCGTTATCGGGAAATCAATTCCCATGGGATCATACCTATCAACGAATGGTTGCATCCATAAGAATACTGCGCATGAGATCAGGGGCAAATCACAAGGAACTGATGTGGACACCAATGAGGATACATTTACTTTGAGGGTTCCTCAAGTCGATTGTTTCGCGCCAAGACAATGCACCTAGTTCGCTTTTTCTTTCACCGCTCTCACAGCACGTGCGAATAGTCAGCTGGCTGGCAGACGCGCTTTTTTTCATGGGCTCCTTTTGACTTGTCATTTATTCAGATTTTCTTACATTATTGACATTTCAACGTGGATGGCTCAAATCGTCGAATCTAGCTAGGCCGCGGAGTTATCGCGGGGGGAGGGAGTACCGTTGAAAGAAACTCCGCGACGACCATCGTGTTCCTTTGGAGGTTCGCTAACAAAGGTGTTTTAAGTAATGCGTCGTACTTGGGCCGATGCTCGAATTCTTTGATGAGACACTGATTCACGAAGGTAGTATAGTTCTTGCTGAAGCAATCAGATTCTTTCAGCAGGGGAGGTTCGCCCGAAACAACACGGTTAAGTTGCTCGAAAATTGTCGAGAAGTCAGGATAGGGAAACTGACCCAAGGACACTTCCACCAATGTAATGCCCAGACTCCAAACATCTGATCGTACGTCGTATCCATTTATGGCTTTAGAAGGATCGATTCTTTCCGGTGCCATGTAGGCTTGACAGCCTGCGTCCCGAGTTTTGGCTATAGAATCGATGAGTCGACCGGATATACCGAAATCGCACATTTTGATTTCGCCCTTTCTGTTGAGCAAGATATTGCTGGGCTTGATATCTCGGTGAATCATCTGAAGAGTCTCTTTTAGGTAATAAAGAGCCTTCACCGTGCTGAAGGCGACTTGAGTTAGGACGTTCTCTGGAATGCGTCTGCCTCGACCGAAAACCCGCTTGTAGAGCTCGTGTAATGAAGTATCCATAAGCTCCATGCATATCCAACAGTCGCCCTCTCGGAAGAGGGTCCCGTAGAACTGTACGATGTACGAGAAGTCGTTGTCATTTTTCATAACGATGCTCAGTTCGATCTTCAGTTTCTGCTGATCGTGCTCGTCCATGGTCGAACGAATTCGTTTGACCGCCATTTCGTGCCCCGTGCTGACATGTTTCATGCGATTCACGCAGCCGAAGCTCCCCGCTCCGATCTCCCCGAGATCCTTCAGGTCTTCCGCTGTCGTAGTAAACTCCACTTGTGGGGAGAGTCGGAGCGTGCCGGAACCCGCGGTGCGAGGCGGAAGCCATTGATGAGCCATGACGTCTTGAGTAACGATTGTGGTGCTAGCTGGAAACGTGTTTGGCTCTGGGGGATTTCGGCGTGGGTGTCCGCTGCCGAAAGAGAGTCGCAATTGGTTTCGCCGTTTCATTTTTTGACCATCCATGTTTGAAGTATTGTCGAAGGACATCTTTGAACTTCGGGTCTTGATACCACACAGTGCGGCTCTTCCGGCCAAACTTCCGCTATCCATGATGAGGAGAAGGGATTAGATGATTTCAGGTAGAGGAGAAGATGAGCGCTCGTGAGAAACTCGTGAGAACTCGAACACCGAATATGATAGCTCATGAGCTTGACGAACGATTTTTATGCCGAACGAGAGGGACGAGGAGCCCTCTCCCCTCGACCCCTTCTCAATGGACCCCCTGATTCTGAATGAGTATCAGAGGCAAGTACGCTGGGATGTTCGCCTGATCGAGGGCGCTGCACCAGAACGAGGTTCGAGTATACCCGCCGCGGTGCAGGCTCTCCCCCATCAATAAATTAGACTTTGGGTTGAATGCGAGGCTCGAATCAGGTGCTCATCGGAATCTTGAACAACCCGAGAGATTCCTCAAGTCGATTCTCTCGCGTCAAGACCTCCCCACGGGAGTCTCCAGATGCCCTTACGCTGCGGCGTTGATCGGCCAATTTCAACTTCGGAGGCTTTCTAATGGCTTGACACTTTCAAATAGTAGATCCGGATGTCCGAGTCCAGACTGAGGATGAGGCGGCCAAGGACAATGCTTGACTTTGTTGCTCGCTCCAGCGAGAGCAATGTAGCCAACGTGATCAAGGTGATTGTTGGTGTCTTGACCCACAGTATGACGGCGGCACTCAGACGACGCTTTTTCCTGGTTCGACTACGAGGGCTACATGGCCTCGACCAGACTCGGAAGAGCCGCCAGAAGCAACCGAAGACCGAATCGCGCCGACTGAGTTGCCTCAACTCCGAACAATGTGCTTAACGCTTGTTCGGAACACGAAATGATGCCGCCTTGGAGTTCAGGAGTCCAAGTTGATCGAAGAGGTCTTTCGCGGAAGCATACCTTTGGCTGAAACGAGACCCCAGGACGAGAGCGTGTCTCGTCTTCTCAGAGAGCTTCACCGAGCACTTCCCGAGAGTTTTGACGTAGAACCACGTCCTTCTGGACGCTGCCCAGAAAAATGTGACGGATCTTGTGACGGATGCTCGAATGATTTCGGGTTGAGAGTTTCGGAGTCGTTGAAGGCTTTCCAGGCGACATCTGGCAAGGGAAGACTGACAGAGAGGCCGTTGAACTCCCCACAACTACGTCTTCACAAAATTACCTCTGGAATCTTCAAATCATCACAAATATTGAGGATTATTGAACATTGAAACCAAACGTGGCGCGTGATGTTGGATTGTGGCACTCAAGGGAGCTGGACCAAACGATCGTGCCACGTGCCACTGAGCTCGCGTGGTACGAAAGCGAAGAACATATCGGCGTATTGGGGAGTCGGTGTATCAGCACATCATCGTCTCCCACGCAACGGTGAAGACGAGTCGAATTGACAGCGCGCCCAACACATCTCGCGTACACCCGCGTATGCGCCGCCGCGTGGTCAACTCAAGACCGCATTGAATCATCCAGATCTATCTATCTATATCTATCTATATATATATAAAAACGTATGTCTGTCTGTCTGTGTGTCTGTCTGTCTGTTTGTCTGTCTGTCTGTCCGGGGTACCCTATTGACTCGAAAACGGCTGAACGGATCGTCGAGAAAATTTAGGAGCGTGTTCTGGGGAATCCAGCGGTGGTCAGTTCTCCGATGCGATGAGTCCTTCTACCTAAAAAAATTATTTGAGTGCTCCACCCACGAAAATTCGAAAACTCGGAAAAAATTTGAAAAATTCGAAATTCGCGAAATTCACTAACACCTGAACCGATCGCCACAAAAATTCGGGGATGGGTTCTCAGGAGCTTCAGGGAGGTCATATGTGGGTCGTCGTCCTCATGTGATGGGTCATGGGTCTCCCTCCATAAAGAGAATTCAGAGGTAGCAGCAGAGCCACTACCGTGTAGAGGACGTGAAACGTCTTCGGAATGGCCATTCGTAAGACTCGAGCATCGTTATTATTTCTTTAAACTCAGCTCCTACCCGACCGCAATGGAAATCTACGATCGCATAGGTAAGCAAGGGTGGGTCGCTGACATCGGGAGTCACCTCCATCGGATTGACTAGCGCATCAATGCCCATATTTCTTTGATTCGTATGTGATCTCGCATTGCTGTGGGACTGGCTCACCGTATTCAGTCGACGCGCCCGCCATTGCGCTGTTCTTTCAGCACCCGTACGAGGCCGTTTACAATCACTCGGAGTTTTAGTCCGTGAACGAGACTTCCGACGTCTGAAACAGGCTCTTTTAGGTCTCATTCTCACTGGTGAAATCGAGCTCTCCACCGAAGTTGGGAAAATATCTTCTTCCGAGTGGAAAATATCTTCTTCTGAGTTTTGTTACGCGCGCTCTTGAAATTCGAAATCGCCCTCTCCCAAGAGCAGCCATGTTCACGGGAGAATAGGGCGTATAGGGTGTCATTCTTGCCTCCAGGAATTGATCTGTGTGTGTGGGAATTCCGTAGGAAGTTTATGAAATTGATGTGCCGTAAATTTGCTATCTAAAGACACCAACCGGGTGTCGATCGGTGTAGAAAGCACGGAGCTGCAAGGCGTCGAAAATGGACAAGTTTCGTCACACTTTTGGTGAAATACTGGGCCAACCATTTTAAAGACGTTTCACGTCAAAAGAATTCAGAGGTAGCAGCAGAGCCACTACCGTGTAGAGGACGTGAAACGTCTTCGGAATGGCCATTCGTAAGACCTGAGCATCGTTATTATTTCTTTAAACTCAGCTCTTACCCGAGCGCAATGGAAATCTACGATCGCATAGGTAAGCAAGGGTGGGTTAGCTCCCCAAGGAACCATAGGCGATCGCAGACGTCACAGCTATGTCAGAATCCATTGTCTAGGAATGATCGTTTGAAGCGAGTCGTGGCTCGTTGCCATGCCTGCGTGTAGGTCGCGCTTCGGGAAGGTCCGATGTCGCTGACATCGGGAATCGGGAGTCACCCCCATCGGACTGACTAGCGCATCAATGCCCGTATTTCTTTGACTCGTATGTGGTCTCGCATTGCTATGGGACTGGCTCACCGTATTCCGTCGAGGCGCCCGCCATTGCGCTGTCCTTTCAGCGCCTGTACGAGGCCGTTTACAATCACTAGGAGTTTTAGTCCGTGAACGAGACTTCCGACGTCTGGAACTGTCTCTTTTAGGTCTTATTATCACTGGTGAAATCGAACTCTTCACCGAAGTTGAGAAAATATCTGCTTTCGAGTGGAAAATATCTTTTTCTGAGTTTTGTTACGCGCGCTCTGGAAATTTGAAATCGCCCTCTCCCAAGAGCAGCCATGTTCACGGGAGAATAGGGCGTTTAGGGTGTCATTCTTGCCTCCAGGAGTTGATCTGTGTGTATGGGAATTCCGTAGGAAGTATATGAAATTGATGTGCCGTAAATTCGCTATCTATAGGCACCAACCGGGTGTCGATCGGTGTAGAAAGCACGGAGCTGCAAGGCGTCGAAAATGGACAATATTCGTCACATTTTTGGTGAAATACTAGGCCAACCTTTTTAAAGACGTTTCACGTCAAAATTCAAATTCACGTTAAAATTATTTGAGTGGTCCTCTCACCGAGAATCAAAGATTCCATCAAGGGGAAGACGGGAATTCGCAGGATTTCTTATCGACTGGACCGATCACCATGAGGAGGTGGATTCTCGGGAGCTCCTATATGGAATAAAAGCGGGGAAACGGGAAAGTGGAGCAACGGGAAATCGGGGAAACGGGAAAGTGGAGCAACGGGAAATCGGGGAAACGGGAAAGTGGGGGAACGGGAGGGTGGGGAAACGGAAAGTGGGGAAACAGGAAAGTGGGGAAACGGGAGAGTGGGGAAACGGGAAAGTGGGGAAACGGGAAAGTGGGGAAACGGGAAAGTGGGGAAACGGGAAAGTGGGGAAACGGGAAAGTGGGGAAACGGGAAAGTGGGGAAACGGGAAAGTGGGGAAAGTGGGGAAACGGGGAAGTGGGGAAACGGGAAAGTGGGGAAACGGGAAAGAGGGGGGAGAGGGGGAAGGGGAACCGGGAAAGGTGGAAACGGGAGGGGGAAACGGGAAGGGGGAAACTGTCGTCGTGTAGAGTTTTCCTCGACGAGTCGAGCCCTGCGCGAACAGATGTTTAACGCCCTAATAAGCCGTCTTTGTTGACCACAAGTCGGCCTTTGGCACGGCTCTGCGAACGATCGTCATGGAAAACTGGCGGCGGCCGGGGTTTGCGGCATGCCCATACTGATCGCTCAGATGCTGCATAGTGGGGAAGTGGCGATAGAAGATGGCGTCTCGGAGCGTCCCCGCACATCTTCACCGTCTCCCTGAGCGACCTCCCGGAAGAAATCTCCCATCGTCACCACGATGTCTACAGCTTCTGTTTGCCAACGATGTCGTTCTATGCTCTCGATCGCGTACCCATCTTCTATCTTCTCAGAGCGCTTAAGACACTACAAGAATACTCGCAAGAAAACGGACGGCTGACCAACGTCACAAAAATCAAGGCGATCAAGTTCGGCGATAGAGGACCGCCGGCGTCCGGTTTCGCCTTCAAAGTCGCAGGACAACGTGTAGAGACCGTGAATAATTTAGGCTCCCTCGGTATAGTTTTATCGAGGAAAGGTTCGGCGACCTCGAAATACATCGCGGGAAGGGCACGCAAAGCTAGGCGTGCTTACTGTTCAATTCTAGAGTGGAGGGCCGATAGGTCTCTACAGACCGCGCTCACACTCCCTCAACTGAATATTGCCTCGATGGCTACGTATGGAATCCTGCTCGTTCAGGAGTTCTTGGAGCGGGAGCAGTTCGAGAAGCTCGAATAGCTGAAGGCCGGCTCCACGGAGGAAGCACTTGGACTACGCCAGACCACGAGGAATAGATTGGTCTACAAAATATACTCCTCTGCTCTCTAAAGTGATTAGAGCGGAGTTCAGCCTACACCGAACGCACGCCTTCGAGAGAAGTTTGAACACATCTCCGACAGGTTCATGATGACTTCGTGGTGACAAATAGATCCGTCAGATCCAGAAAACCACCAAACGAAAAATCGCTGGAAGAAGCCGGGATCGGAAAATCGGCTCAGGATCACGACAGATTCAGGGCAATGTTTTCACTTCCTCATCTGCACCAAGACTGTGCCCCACGAGGAGGCTGCCGACTGGCCCTGCTCGCTAAGTGGGCAGAAATGCGGAGACTACCATTTGTACAGTGGCTCATCTGAAAAAAAGTTTGATTGGTCAAGTAAGTGATATCGCGATGTTTCTCTAGTCAAATACGCCGTGTTGGCGATAAATATTCTCAGAGAGGAAAAAGACACTGCTCGCGCGAACATTTA